GCTGAATGCTTTCCGCTGGCCATTACACTATTGAAAACCAGTCCATATTGAAGATAAGAGAGGAGAAATAAAATGCATTAGAAATGGAGATTACTTTATCACTTCTCAATTAATATAATGTTTTTCATTGTTCAAATTGTAAAAGCAGTTGTGTGGCATTTATGCCCATGATTAGGACAGACTAGAGCCTGATTTAAAAGTCAATATAAGTACAAAATATACAATAACTACAGAAGAGTGAGGCTTTTTAAAAATTCATCAACTATATAAAGGTTTTTAAATGACCTGTACATTAATAACAGCATTACTTTAATTAAATTTTTAGGGGAATTTTAGAAGGGAATTTCCCCTCCCTTATCTTATTTTCTCAACAATTTTTTAAAAAGTCGAAGTTCTAAAGTCTTTGTTTTTATCAAAAAAGCAATTAAATGTTTCTTAATTTAAACAGGAAATGATGGATTATTCTTCAAATTCAAGAAAAATGTTGGGATTTTTCAAAGAGAATTAATGCTGTTATTATAATTTATTAAGATCTCTATGGCAAAATTCCCAAATGTAAAATGTATTTATTTTAAGCTTTACATATTGGAAAAGTAATTTATCATGTTGCCTTATCAATGCCTGGCTTCCTTATTAAGGCAATTTCTAGTTAGGTTTTTATTGGGAGTCCCCTCATTGTTTGGAGCTCCTCTGCTTCCTTTTTTTACTTCATTCGGTGCGTAGCCTTGGCTTCCAGTGCAGCCTCAGATACCTAACAAGGTGTAGGCTATGAAACAAACTGGTATGAGTGACCCACAGCAATTGGGTCATAGTGTTAGAATCAGGCAATTTGTTGTTCTCTTTGTATTTTCTTCCAGTTGCAATCAGCTCTAAATATTTTTCAGGAGTGATTTAGTGAGATGTAGAAATGACCCATTCTAATTATACACATCTCTTTTTTTCTCCTTTTCTGTGCCATTTCTATGGGTGATTGTATCCCTGCAGCAGAATTATATTAAGGACACATTGTGATGGCCATATATACACTACCAAATGTAAAATAGATAGCTAGTGGGAAGCAGCCGCATAGCACAGGGAGATCAGCTTGGTGCTTTGTCACCACCTAGAGGGGTGGGATAGGGAGGGTGGGAGGGAGGGAGACGCAAGAGGGAAGAGATGTGGGGATATATGTATATGTATAGCTGACTCACTTTGTTATAAAGCAGAAACTAACACACCATTGTAAAGCAATTATACTCCAATAAAGATATTACAAATAAATAAAAATTAAAAATAGAGTGGTCATGGGGGGCCTCTCCGAGGAGTAACATTTGAGGGGGAAAAAAAAGAAAAAAATGGAAAGAAAGAAGCCGTGACAAGAGCAGAGCTTTCTTGGCAGAGACAATACCAAATGCAAAGGCAGTGAGGCAATAACCAGCTTGGTCTGTCCCAGGAACAAAAATCAAACCAGGACAGCAAGAGAGAGTCAGTATCAGGAGAGCAGAGAATCAGTAAGGTCAAAGATGTAGGGAGTTCAGATCTAGATTTTATCCCCGATACAGGGGACAACCGGCAAAATGGTTTTCAGCAAAGGAGATGAAAGGTGGCATTGTGATCTGGTTTTTGTTTATAGGAGATTACACTGGCTACAGGTGGAGAATGGACTAGTGTGGGACAAGAGTACAGGCAGAAAGACCAATTAGGAGGCCATTTGTAGTATCTGAGCAAGAAGTGATACTGCCTAATCTAGCAGGTAGTGGAGATGCAGAGACTAAGATACAACTTCAAGACTTGCTGGGAGTGGAAGCTTGGAAAGAAAAGAATCGAGTGACTATTAAACATTTGGCCTGAAGAAACAGACTGACAGATATTGAGAACAAACTAGTGGTTACTGGTAGGGAGAGGAGAAAGATAGGGGTAGGGGATTAAGAGGTACAAACTACTCTGTATAGAATAAATGAGCTACAGGATATGTTACACAGCACAGGGAATATAGCCAATATTTTATAATAACTTTAGATGGAGTATAACCTATAAAAATTTTTAATCACTATGTTGTATACCTGAAACATATAATATTGTAAATCAACTATATCTCAAATATATAAATAAGTAAATAAGTGAATAAACAAATAGAACTCTGGTCTGAGTTAACAATGAACCTGCTAGTCATGTGCTAGGCTTTGGAGATAAAATAGAGCAGAAGACATAGTCCTTACCTTGTGGAATTTATAATCTATAATTATTCAATAAATCCTACTCGGTTAATAACTAATAATTTTTTTAAATTAATTTAGATTTAAATATCACAGTTGTTAGCATCATAAAGTCCAGATGGGTTGAAATGTTAAATTTAATAGATAAATAATCTCTAAATAAATAAACTAGAAGAAAAAAATATATATATTATATATACTTTAAGGATGGGAAAGCTTTTTAACACTGAGTTATAAGCAATAAAGAAAAATAGTAATAAATTTAATAACTAAAGTTTTAAACTTTTGTAGGTCAAAAATTACCATAAACAAAATTAAAAGGCAAATAATACTGGGAAATATAGGTACAGCATATATGACAATATGTTGATGTGATTAATATATAAAGAGATCTTAGAAATCAATGCCAAAAAGATGAACAAACAGTACAATAAACAGAAAGCAAAAATGCAGGGTCAGTCTAAATGTGGGTTCAGTCTTACAGGTAATCAATAATATACATATTTAAAATAGGATATGATTTTTTTACCTTTCAAATAGGGAAAGGTTTAAAAGAAGAAAAATAATCCGAGAGTTACTCCAGGAGTATAAAACTGACACTTGAGAGAAATTCTATAAAAATGTGTATTACCTTTCATCTGGCAACTTCATTTTTTGAAATGTCTAAAAGGCATAATCGTGGTTGTGTGCAGTTGCATACAAACATTTACTACAGCGTTGTTTATAGTAATATAAATTTCTCAATAGGGAACTGATTAAATAAATAATAGTATATCCATGTGGTGTAATACAGTGCAGCTAGTTAGAAACATAGTGCAGAAAAAAACTGACTGATGTGGTAAATTGTTCATAATATGTTTAATGTGATAAAAGCAGATTATAAAACAACAAGCAAATGTAATAGCATTTTGGTAAATATCCACAGAGAAAGTATGTCAATAAAGACATTCACCAAATTGTTCTTGGTAACTATATTTGAGAGATGGAATTGTAGGTGATTTTTTTCCTCTACATATCTGTGCTTTTTATATTTTCCACATGTGCAATTATGTATTTTTTATATTACAAAATAAAAATTACATATTTATAAAAGGTTAAGTACTCCAGAACAAAAGGAATCACTGAAACTAGTGAAAGGAAACCAGTTGAAAACGAGTAATCGGAATAAAGGCTTCAAGGATGCTTGCAGATAAAAAAGGCAAAACAAGGTTTCTCTGATACTAATAATAAAGAAATGCAGACAATGGGAGTGGGGCATGGATTTGAACAAAGACATTCTGGAGCCTAGGAGCTGTGGACACTGCAGCTGCTGTTAGTCATCATTCAAAGGTCAGTCCATACCAGCAGTCACAAATGGGGGGTTGTAAGGTCAACGTGGCCATCAAATGAATCCCCACAGGTAATACCAGGTCACACTGTCCTCATATATGAGGTTGTAGAAGGTTTGATTGTGATCCAATAAGCCAATTTGCCTGTTCAATTTATTAAAATAGCCCAAGGAATGATCAGTCTGATCATCCCTGGCCTCCACACACCGCAAGTTAACTAGATAAACTGTCTGACCTTTTGAACATAGAGAATCCTTAAAGTTCTATATCAAACATGTAACCTGCAAATCTAGAGTGATGGTCAGTCTGTTAATTTGACATTTGAATACACAGGACACCAGAAATCAACTCTGCCTACTCAACTCATTGTAGGAATTATATTTAATTCCTTTTGAGGGCTCTGAGGTTTATTCTTGTAAAATAACCTTCTTTTATTTTTTTTTCATGATCAAAGTGCTTTACATAGGAAACAGGTAAAGTACCAATGATACCAAAAAGTGCATTTGTGTGAGTGTAAATAAAAGCACTATTTCCAGAGCATCTGTCATCTGAGTGTCTCTGAGTTTTTGGTGCCCTTTTTTGGGGTCTGATTTTACTAATTTTAAGTAAATTTGGTAGTTTTCAAAGAGGGAGCTCTTTTTTTTTTTTTAACTGTCAGTTCCTTTATCCATTCCTTTCTTTTTAATTGAGGTATAATTGACATATAATATTATACTAGTTGCAGGTATACAACATAATGATTCAATATTTACATATATTGTGAAATCATCACCATAATAAGTCTAGTTAACTAGACTTTAGTGCCTTTTTTAAAATTAGAGGTATTAGGGAAAAGCTGTCTCCAAACACAATTCACTAGGTAGTGACTAAATTACTATTCATTTCCTCTTGTATACTTTTATTACAATAGTTCTGAAATTTTGTTGTCTACTAGATTCTTCTGTGAAGCTTATTTAAAACATACCCGCCGTCTACCCTAGACCTACTAGATCGGAGTCTCATAGGTGCTGAGGCCCATGGGTTATGAGGGTTTCGCAAGATACTGGGTGGCTCTGGTTTGCTCTGAGTGGGAGAACCACCGCTCTGGGTGAAAAGGGTGCCAGTAAGGAAAGGAGGTGGCAAAAGAACAAGGGGGGAAAATTAAGAAATTTCTGATTAAAAGAGAAAATTTTCAAAAGAAAGACATGTGAATAATGACATTCAGTCCTAGTCGGTGTCATTTCTTAAAGACTATTTCTCTACAGACTAGAGAGGCGAGATTAGAATCCGGCCAGTTCAGAGGTTAAAGCGTTAACCAGCATGTCAATTCACTTGTCCTCAAGATGTGTGACAGGGAGCAAAGGAGAGTTCCTATCAGTGGCTCCGGAGAAAGAAAGTAAACACTCCCAACATGCACTGAGGCACAGGGAGTGGCTCAGGTTTCTAACACTTCCCTGCTGTGGCGAAAAGGAGTAATAATTAACAGTTTCTTGGGCTTGCTGTTCGTGGGAGGGGCACTGCCAGGCTCAGAGGGAGCCCCGCCTGGGCAGGAGTGTGTGCGCCCCTCCTCCCGCGCTTGTCTCCGACCCCAGCTCCACCTCCGGGACAGGTGAGCAAGCCCTGACTCTCCAACGACGATCAGAGTTTGGAACTGAGCAGGGAAACACACTCTCCGGAGCAGGTTCAGCTCAACAACGAAGGTAAAAATCTCCCATTCACAGTGTAGCAGGTGAAACATGGGGGTAGGGGAAAACAAAAACCCTCTAATCTACTCCCTGAGGTCAAGTTGAGGGCAAGTTGTTAGAAAGCAAAATCCATAGGTAGCCAAGTTTGAAGGTGTGCATGTGTCAGAGCAGCCCGAAACCCGGACGTATTTTCCTTTTGATTTTTTCAGAACACCCTTTCCTGACCAAGGTAAGCATATGGGGAGGGTCGGGGGAAGAGGGGAGGGCTTGAAGGTAAGTGTGGCCACCAAACCCTCCTCCCTTTTCTGACAAGTGTCATGAACTCAAGTTCTTCACCCGGGATTGTGGTTTGCCTGGAAAAGATACTAGACTCCTGCATTACTTCCCCCTTTCCCTCAGCACTCTTATGGTTACAAGGTTACATTCAACCAGCAGACTCGAAAGGTCTTTTTAATTGCGGTTCAGCTAAACTTTTATTATTTTCCACAAATCAACAGAGACTTCTCACAGACACACACACACACACACACACACACACACACACACACAATTGAAAAGGATTTCTGATATAATTTAAGACTGCCCCAAACAATGAAAGGATAATCATAATTAAATGAGAGTCCATGAGTTAAGGGTCCAATTCTGAAGCAAGAGAGCTATAGGTTCAAATCTTGGCTTTGCCACTTACTGGTTTGTCCCATAGCAAGTTACTTAACCTAGCCAAGCTTCTGTTTGCCATCTATAAAATAAGCGTCATAACAGTATCTGCCAATAGGGCTTTGATGGGAATTAAACACTTAGCAAGCCTTCTATAAATAGCTATACATAGTGCCTCCAATTAGCATTAAGAAATTTGCAGCTCTGCCAAAGGGTACATGTCAAGGAGGGTGAGTGAACTAGTGAGACCAGACAGTATGGGGGTACCGCGTTGAACTGGTTTCCAGTGAGTGGGTCCAGGACACACGTAAGCAGATGGCAAGTGGGCAAAGCTACTCATTCCTCTGAGTAGCAATGAAATTATCTGGCTTCTTGCCACTTTTCCAATAGAGTATGTGGTGGCAAATTCAAACTTTGCTACTCAGTCATTTTTACTTTGGGGAAGTCTCACTTATATGAATATGTTATTTCTAACAAGAAACAATAATTTCATAATAGGATAGAAACACTCAACCCCCTGTTGTAGAACCCATCAATTTTGAGTTTTATTTATGAGACTGCCCCTGAATAACTTTGATAAAATTAGACCATATAGTCCATGTTCTTACATTGTAGCACATATTGTATTGTTTGTATTAAACTGATATGGACTTTTGTTTGTGTTTACGGACAAGAAACATAAATGAATGATACCTGTGTTTTGCTGGTCTTTACCACTTAAATTATAGGGAAGTGAACTTACTTTATGATTCTTTAAAGGGCATTTTGGTTAATGTTGCTGATGGTTTTATTAATGTGGATGACTTTGAGGAAGGAATAAACTTAGTAGGTGTGACTAGCAAAGTATTTCCAATTATGACATTTTATCTTTTTATTTTATTAATATAAAACAGTTAAATGCTTTGCAATTGATCCTAGCTTAATATTATCATTGTTTTAATGTATTCAAATTGCAGAGTTGAAAATCTGCAATGTATGTACTGTGTTTTCGTTTTGTTTGTTCGGGTTTTTTTTTTGTTTTGTGGTGACTTTTTGTTTTTAGAGGTAGAAGGAACTTTTTTTCTTCCAGTTTTATTAAGATATAATTGACATACAGCACTGTATGAGTTTAAGGTGTACAGCGCAATGATTTGACTTACATACATCATAAAATGATTACTACAATAAGTTTAGTGAACATTCATCATCTCACATAGATACAAAATTAAAGAAATAGAAAAACAAATTTTTACTTGTGATGAAAATTCTTAAGATTTACTTTTTAACAACTTTCATATACAACATACAGCAGTGCTAATTATATTTATCATTTTTGTACATTACATCCCTGGTACTTATTTATCTTAAATTGGAAGTTTTACCTTTTGACTACCTTCATCCAATTCCCCCTCCCGCCCACCCTTATAATGGGATAGTGACTGAAGGATTGGAGATAGAATTCTAAAGCCAAGTAAACTGAACTGTACTATTATATTGTCCTCCGGGGCTTGAATCAGTTTAGTGCAGTTTAACTAAAAACTTATAAAATAATCCAATCTATTTAGAATAAATTATAGTACCAGTGTTTACTAAATAGTTTTCAAAGAGGAAATATGCCTTTATGCTGAATAAATATTGTTAGAATTTAAACAAGTTATCAATATTTAATTTTTGTATTCCTTAATAGGCATATATCTAAATAACAAACAGTAGCCCCAACTGAGATAAATCCATTAACCATATTTGAGAATAATTTGAGATTTATTTATTTAACCACATAACCAGTTATAAATCTTCCTAAAGTCTATTTTAGTATACAAATGTTTTTCTACTATTTCTAATGCTTATAAGATTTTGTGATAAACTATTAAATATTTTGCTCAATCAGAAGAGATAGAAGTAACCAGCAGTGATTAAGAAAACATTAAGTTTTCTGGTTACATTTAAAATAGTATAACATATATGTAATATGTCTTTTTAACATGTAATTCAAGGTTTCATATTTTATACTTGTTTTAACTTCCTAAAGTAAGATGCATCCTATACCTTTCATCAAAATAGAAATCTAGTGCTAATAGTCAATTTACTTGTACAGATTCTTTGGTTACAATGCAGACAGGGAATTTAGGATTGTTAGAGATACATGGGCTTCATATAAAAGTTTAGATTTTTAAAAATAGTCAAGTAAAGGTCAATTGAAAAATACAACCTCTGAGAAAGAACTTCTTTTGAATGTTCTCTCTTTTCACTGAAGTCTAGGGTTAGAGAGGGTTGGATCTGTTGGAAAAAAATTAGTCTTTTAAAGCTATCAAGTAGAGTGATTTCGTCATTTCATAACATCATCTCAAGTACCAAACAAACCAATACTACTGCTTTCAGTAGTTGAACATGAAGGTGTCTCTCTCTTAAGGGATGAGGGTGTTATCTTAGTAGCTGAGATGGTTGAACGACATCGCCATCATTATCCCAGAGTCTAGGAAATGGAGCTCAAGAGGAGGGCTGATTCTTTTGCAGCCAACAGATGAACAGGAAAAATTGAGCCATGGCCCCTGTGAAGTCAACCTTAGAAATTCCTCTTGGAAACCCAGATGAAGCAGAGGCTCTTGAGCTGTGCCATAGAAGCAATTCCAGAAGAAGCCATCGGCAGATGGAGTAGCTCCTTCCCAGACTGAGTGGTGGCAAGATGCCTTGAGTCCTGAATGGCTTCCAACTAGCTCGCTTTTCCTACTGCTCCTGCTTTTCTCACCTCCCTGAGGGCACTCTGGGGAGAATGGAGCACAGGGCATTAGGGCCATGTAAATATACAATAGCATACTAAAAGTTTGGCATTTCAAATTAGATTCCACTGGACTGACTGTGATGGTATACTCACATAGAAGCCTGGTTGTTTGATATTCATCCTGTTTATCCTGTGTTAAATTCAAGCACTGTAATACATTTTTGTTTGTATCTCAAACATTCCCTAACTGCAATCAATATCACTTAATAAGGTGATAGTGATTATAGTCCAACGCTCAACTTTTACCATCTCTGCAAATGACACACATTCTTTAGAAAAAATATGGAACCAATTACTTCCCAGAAACCACACTTTTCTTGACTCTTTTTCTGTTTTCTAAAAATTGGATAACGGTTAGAATTATAGATGTTTTGTCTTGTTTCCTTGAAGTGATGTAATTGTATACGGGTCTACTCTTCTCTACTACAAGGTTCCACGTCAGAGCTTAGAGAAAACAGCTTTATTTTAGAGGTAAATACATATTTGTAACTTTCCATTGCTTCTTCAGGCCAAAATAATAATTAAAACAAAACCCACCATGCATACAGCCATTAATCTTAATTCGTAATTGAAATACACACTCGCTATTCCAATGTTACACTCTCTGCTCTTTTTTTTTTTTTGGAATTTTTATGGTGTGTGTTATTAAGATATGTTTCTTGTATATGACTTAGAAAGTACATATGAAATCAAAAAGAAAATAATTATCACTCAATTTCATAGATCTCAATTTTACTGTTAATATTTTTGTACATCTCTCCACATCTTGAATATACAGATATTCATAATTTTATATATGTCTTCTCTACATACTTGCATATATACATTCACTAGAGGAGATACAAAAGTGAAATGAGCAATCATCCTGTTCTAGAGGAAATCAGGTAAACTAAAATATGATTAGGGAGAGAAAGTAAGTAATTAGAAAGCTGCAGATATTTGGCTATCCAAGTTCAAAGGCAGGAGAAATTCTCTTTGGCTGGAGGACCCAAGGAAATTAGCACATGGATTTTTTCTTTGGTTCATTGTAAAATCATGACCACTTTGACACTTCCTGCACGCAGGGGTCTCAGGAATCAGGAGCTGCGGACACAGATGCAGGCTACACTTCCTGGCTAGCACAGCAACAGCACAGAGAGGGAGCTCATGAAATATTTGTTGATATACAAAAGAGTGAGCCAAGTTTCCCACTTTTAAACAAGCAACCATTTAATTAATCCATGCTTGGACCAAGGAAGGTACTTTAAATGACCGGCCCTTTTGAGTTAACTGGGCTTCACCTCCCATCCTCTGGCCTCATTCTGGCCAGTCCAGGCAAGCCCACATCTAGGCAGGATGCCGAGCAGGAAGAGGTGAACCACTGATGCTCTCAGATGCTCTCTGTTCTCAGCGTTGCCCAGATACTGGTGCTGACTTATTCTGCTTTCTCAGGTTCCTGAACCCTGCTGCCTGCTCAGACTGATTCTATCTTCCTGGTCTTCTCTCTTCCCTGTTGAGCCTCCAAGGTCTGTTTGAGCCTAGACCTGCCTAGTACTTCTAGGACTGTTTATTTCTCCAGGATTTAATTACTTGCCTATTTAATTCCATATCTCTTGAGCTC